TTTTGCCTTTGGCTACTTTGCCCATTAAAGTGTCTTTCTTGCGCACACGTGAAGGTGGTCCACTGATCAGTAAAGCCCGCAATTCCACGTGAATAGGACCGTGAATGTTTTCTTTTTTGCTCTTGTCGTTAGCAGCATAAGTGCTAGAGGAAAAGTTCCATAAATACCCGAAGGCGAGACTGGCCAAGTAGAAAGAATGAAGAAAACCCGAAAAGTAGTTTTTCCTGCAGTTTTTTTGAATGATAGCTGGCCCGATTGATCATAACATCAACATCACAATTTTCGTTTCAGCACAATGGTTTAAAAGAATGTTTTTCCTTTGAAATTGCCTGAAGGATGGATGTTTTTGAAAGAAAAGATAACTGATAATGCAAATAGCTAACTTAACTTGGTGGAAACAAAGTTTTACGAAGTAGGCCTCACACCGCCATGTTTGATTTGATTTTTGCAAACTTCAATCTCGCAACCCCTCACTGACAGGTGATTGCGTGATGCCTTGCGCTGAAGTGCGCGCTAGAGCCCAGGCGTCTCACGCAATTATTACTGTTTTGAGCCACCTTAAATATGGTGATTGAAATAAGCCTTTCTCGAGCCTGTCATCCTATCAACAAAATAATAACTCCCAAAGACTAAACAGAACCCACAAAGAATTGGCGAGAACAAAAGGATAAAAAAAAACTTATTAAACAAAAAAGACAGAGAGTGGAAAGTAAACAATGACATATTAAAAACACATGCTAGCTTAATAATTATTATTCTTAATTGGTAATTTTGATTTGCGTTGCTTCAAACAATCAATGAATGCAGCATTTTTTGTTTTCTTAAGCATTGATCAGCAATTTTATCCTTATACTATATTTGTTTATTTGTGGGTTGTTTCCACCATTTGTCAAATTATCATGATGAACTGCTCAAGCCTGTCCAACATTGCACATTGTTTACTACTCACACCCTTAAGACAAGTCTGAGGCCTTTTATTATTTAACTCTGCTTCTGATCCTGCTAGTATAAAATATATTACCTTTAAAATATAAACAGATTGCTGAAAGAGTAATAGGGTTCCAAAACATTTTAGTGTTATCTCTTTCACCTAAGCTTGAGTTTCTTTATATATTTAGGGAGGAGAAGAACTATGAACGGAAAATCAAGATGGCCAACACTTGAGTCAAACTGTTGACATTTTTGTAAATTTTAATTTGTTTTCAAAGAAAAGAAAAATTAATGTTAAACTCCACACATTAATGAATGTAAATGAATAATTATACATTTTATTGATTTCATGACCACTGGACAAGTAAAAATTGTTTGACAGATTACACTGAGCAATTTTCTGTTACACTTTTAGTTTAGTGGCAATTTTTGCATATGTATATATACACTGTTTATTGGAACATAACATGAATAAAGTTTTATGTACAAACAATAAAAGGATTATCGATTACATTATGCTGCAAATATTGAAGTTTAATAATAGGAATAAGATAGTAAGAGTGACAGGGCTAGCCTATTACAAGAGACTGACTTTAAAAAGAACAAGGGACGAGAACTGGTGAAATCAACAAATCACATTGCAAGTACATTGTAATCACTTTAAAAACACACATTAATGACTGGGAAGTCCACTGGGAGTCCACCTGTCATACAGAAACAGTGCTGGAGATAATTTTTCTTCTTTAACAGGACAGGTGTCCTGTCAAATCTTCATTTTGGTTGGACATCTCATCAATTTGACCGGACATCAAAGATTTTCAGCTCTAAAGATTTTCAATACAAATCCTTCAAAAGTAAATTTAAATTTGATTTATTTATCATTTATGATTAACCAGATGAATTTATCTACTAGATGACTGCACCGATCTCTCCTGGTTATCTCCTGGTTATATGTTCCTCAAGCAAACCTACTGTAGTTTTCTATTGAATGCTATCATTAAAGGCACACAGTCAGCTTTGGGACCACGCTGACCTGGACACTAGTTTCTCTCTTTGAAAAAAGTTCACCTCAACCTGAAATCAAAGTACATCTAGAAATCCACTTCAATCTTCGCAGTGTTTCAATCACTTACTCAAAAAGCTGTTTTCGAGTGTGCTTTTGCTCATCCTGTAATTTATTTTTATCATATTTGGTTAAAAACAGTGTGGATGGGGTCTCTGTGATATGCAAATTAGCTACGGAATGGTATCTAATACGCATGTGCACCAGCTGACTGGGTCCCTTTAAAGCAGGAGCCCATCACTAGGAGTGTGAAACTACCCCAATTATTCCTGTCCTGTCCTATTTTTAGTTTGAATTTACCGCAAATTCAGACTCCCATAGGACTCTAGGGTACATACATGAAATGCTAACAGCATATTGCAATGTACGTAATACATCATAGGGCGATTTCTGAAGAGTACTTTATTTGGCAAGTACAGGAAAGATGAACACTTCTGCTTTACGATATGGTAGAAGGCCGTAATCGGCTCCTGGATATGGCTCAAATTGTCAGAGTCATTAGGGCCCAAAATTAAAAAAATTCTTACATGTAAGTGGCCATTTGGCAACTAGATGATGAAATTCAAGTAGGAATTTTATTCAGAAAAGAATTCAATCATTAAATCTGTAAACTAAGAAAAATATTCCAACACTTTTTTGGTAGGCTCGATTTCCGCCACTTTCTCGAGTCCGGTCTACATTCCTCCCCAAGAAGAGACAGTTGGACGTGTGAGGGGCAAAGCATGTCTGTGACATAAATTCATAATTCAATTCTAGTGGTGCTTCAGGTGGCCGGAAATGTCATCTGATGACAATCATAGGCAGGCCCATATGACGCCTACGGCTCATAAAATTTGTGGCTTTTTCACCACTTCTTCCTTTAATTTTCACCCTCCAACCTATTTTGTTTCACATTTTGTTGCAGAAGGGCATTACATGCTGTGTTCTATAGAAGAATTTAAAAAAAAAAAAAGTAGAGCAGCACTGTTTGACTATAGTGTAGCAACTGTCATGTCAAAGGTCACACATATGTTGTATGGTGTGCATGGTGTTGACACCATGTCTATGTTTTGCTAGTTCGGTTTGCTTTGGCTCATTTAAAAATTTAATTTTGTCTGGCTTTGCCAAAGACTGGTGCCACGCTTCCCTTCAAGACAACTAACATACAATTTGACTAAGTGTTTTGTTTCTTGAGATCAATGTTTGCGTTTATCCCTCTCTTTGTTGACTTTGTTCATTATCTGACATTCTGGCACCACGATTCAAATATAGATTCTAACACATAAGTCTGTTGACTATTTTGCGTGTTGCATATGACACTATGGTTAAGATCTGGCAAGGTTTCATCAGTTGACAGTATTTGCATTTCAAATCGCACAACTTCTTTGCTACTGCCAGAAAGCTAATTTATGCAGCCTGCTCAATTCACGCAGGCAGATTTCTTATTGGTTGGAATTAACAATGCCAAAACCACGAGTCCAGCCATGCATTCGGGGGAGGAGGGCGGGCTCCTTTCCTGAACAGCGGCTGGTAATCGAGCCTACCTTTTTGGCTGCTAATTTTGTATATGTAGCTAATGTAATGTCTATGAAGGATTAATGCATTCCAAGAGACACCATCAGTAGGCATACATGATGTACTCAATGCTCAAGGGTTTGCAATGCATTATAGGGCGATTTCAAACCCCGATCAGCCATTTGCAAGTTTTCTGATGTGAGGGAATCCTCTACAGCAAAGCAAAAGGATATATTGCTTTCTTTTCTCATGCTGAATATCATAGAAGCAAAGATCTTTCACTGTGTATTTCTGGAAGGTCATAGTGTTTGAGAAAATAACTATTATTGATCATCATAACAGAGAAATGTAGTTGCCATTATGGTAGCCTGTGAATGCTGATGTATTTTTGGCTGTCCACTAAACCAGAATTTTTGGTCACCAAAGATGAAATTTAAGCCGCATTGGCGACCGTTCCCGTCGCAATTTTGAGCCTTTTAACAATGTATCTAACCAAATTTTATGGATGGATAATAACTTGGTGTACTAGGTCAAATGTTTGGACATCATGTCCGATCATAATGTGAAATTGACCGGACATATTCAAAATTTGGTCAGACAATGTCCAATGACCGACTGTTATTTCCAGCCCTGCAGAAATGTACATCAGGAAAGAAAAGAGACACCCACTGTGCTGTTGCCATAGCAACACTATTGTCAAAAACCAAACATCCCCTTTTGCAATCCTTTGTGAATTTATGACTTTCCTCTTTCCTTTTTATCATTTTCCTCACTCCCATAATAAAAAAACGTAAATCACAAAAACGAAACAAGATACAGTCGAATCTCCGGTTGCCACCACCTCTCATAAGCAACCACCTCTCCTCAGCGACCAGTTTTCCACAATACCAAAAGTTTCTCGTCAAATCACTATATTTGGAACCTCTTTTAAGCAACCACCTCTCTTAAGTGACTGCAACCACTTTTAGAGCTAAAAATTTGAACTTTTCCGTGAGCGACCATTTGACAGATAATAGATAGAAAATTGGATAATCAGTTGTTGTAAAGTTATTGTATTCCTAGATAGTGCAAGAGACGAAAATTTCTCAATTGGAAAAACCAGATTTTTTCTCGAAATTGACTTTTCATAAGAATAAAACATTGCATAGGCATTGGTGCATGGGGTAAGTCTTGGCAGTTACCATATTCTTATGAGGCAAAATTTTGATTCAATGTAACTCCAAAGGGATTGAATACTTCGAGCAGTCCTTAGACTCGCAGTTTAACGAGTCTAAATAGTTTGAACCTATGACCACTGCGTATAGACACATAAAGCCACACATTGGCTCTCATAATGGCAAATTTCCTCTTTGATACGCACCTGCAGGGAATCATGGTAACTTTATCGACAAAATAGATTATGAATTCAACTACCATGATTCCCAGCACGCTCTTCTATTCAGGTGGCAAGGCATCACACAGGTTACTATGAGGTAACGTGAAGGATCTAGGAACGATGTTAGTCATCAGTTCAAATCCTGCGCGCATGTTTTTACCAGCCATACAAATAGAAGTAGAAGGTCTGTGAAAGACTATTGCAGCCGGGGAGAAGCGGTGGACGAATATGTGGTTAGCGCGCTGGACTCGGCTTCGTTTGAACCAAGAGCCGGGGTCCTCACGTTGTGTTTTTGAATCTAAGAGAAGAATAAAAACTCCTAGTTTCTCCATGCTGTAGAAACCTAAGCGGGAATAAGCAAGCTTACAATATTCCTGCTTATAACAGCTTCAACCTGAGTGCCATCACTTTATGAATGTGATCGTGGATCTGGACGGGATTTGAGCCAAGTGGTGGCGCCTGGAAAGAGCTGGATGGAGGATCTGGCCCGAGGTGTGCATTGCACCAGCCGACAGAGCCGGCTGGCAGCAGAGTGTGTATTTCCGCCCTTGGTATGTGGTCATAATAAACAAACTTTACATAGCTTCAGACTATCACAGCCTTGTAAACATATTTTCAGCTCATTTTTTTTCCAGCAGCATAGAATTCCTCGAGAAGAATGGGATCAGTGGAGAGACTCATGCCAAAACTTCTTGCTCAATCGAAACAACTGGTAATAACAAATTCTATCTCGCTCATTGAGTCATTATACAAGTCATTGATTTTTAGCCTATCATACGGGAATTTACCCCTGAAGGACGCTTGGGGGCTCTCCCGTACGTGAACAATAAAAGGTGAAACGTCACTGCAGCTGGGCTAGATTTCTACAGTCGCTCTCTCGAGTCCGGACTTCCCTACCGCAATGTGAACGTTATAGAAAGAAACAAATATAGCAAGAAGCCAAACAAGTCCGGTGACGAACCCAAAGGTAGCACAAAACTAGAGAGCTGTTGAACTTGCGTTTACGAGGCTCCTGGCTCCGCTGATGATCACAGATCCAGTGAGATTAAGGTTAGTAGTTAGAACGATGTGCGTTATATAATTATATCATAATTCGCTTTGTTTTGCTTCGAGAATTCATCTTCTAGATAACAACTTATTCCAGTAACTGATAGTGCACTTATCTTCCAAGGAATTTAGTTCATCTGCAAGTTTATGGTACGTATTTCAGAATAAATTCACACCTGTAAAAAGTAGCCCGTTTGAACGTGAAATAAATTCTTTACTGTTGTTTTCTTTGGTTATTTTCCCCTGCTCAGATATCTGCGAGGATCAGGCCTAGTCCGACGACATCGTGTGTACTGTAAGTAATGAACAGTCTTCATTTCGTATTAAATTCGATCGAAGTTATGCTGTTGTTGCTTTGTTGGCATTTCTCGACCGTCAGGTCGTGCGCGAATTCCTCGACAAGATACAACTAGAGAAGGGCTTTCCGGCAATCCATCAGAGACACCGTGAAAATGCCTTTATGCCGAGAAATGGCCGGTGCGCTCAGTAGAAACGTGCTAATATCGCACACTTTACGTACTACAATCTAAGTTTGAGGACAATTTGGTAAGTTAACTAGGATTTTAATCCAAAA